AAAAAAAAAAAAAAAGTAAAAGCTGCCAGTGGTGTGTCACAGTGCCCCGCTCGGCAGGTTTACTGCTGCCGTTGTGTTCTGGAGTGCACTGGGCCAGTCGTAAACCACGGGATTCACGTTAAGCATCGGGGCAAGAAACCTTTCTGCTTGGAAAGATTGCGCCGTCTGGCCTTCACGCGCACTGGAGGGTGGGGCTTCTGAAGCAGAGCGATGAGTGAGCGACCACGCTCAGCTTCTCCTCCTCGGCCCCTCAATAGATTAGTATTTATTGAGATATTCCTTCCACAAGCATTCGCTGGGCCCAGGCACCGCCCAGCTTGCAGCCCCGATTGTGTCCTTGTTATGAGCTCCTTCCTGGGAAGTGAGTGTCAGAGGGGAGCGACCTGTCTGTTGGTTTCTCCCTCTCTGTGAAATGCCGCAGCCCCGTTGAAGGCGAAGGCTGAGCTGGTAAGGGGAGGAACTGTTGTCCTGAGAGCCGGCCTGTCCCCTCGGACGTCGATGTGCGGCTTTCCCAGGCACGACTGGCGACTTTTCTGTGGCTTTTCTCCTGCCCAATGTACAGCAGTCAGGCTGCATCCATCCACACACCTGGCCGTGAGGTTGCCGCCGTATTCTCAGGGTTCTGCTTGCCCAGGGCAGGCCTCTGGGGAAGCCAGCACCCCAAGCTGACCTCTGTCTGCCCCAGGCGGAGAAGGACATTCTGGAGCAGAGCCTGGACGAGGCGCGGGGGAGCCGCCAGGAGCTGGTGGAGCGCATCCACTCCCTGCGGGAGAGGGCCGTGGCCGCGGAGAGGCAGCGGGAGCAGGTGCAGTGCGGCCCCTTCCTCCCTTGGAAGCCTCCTGGCACTTGTCCCGGGGTGGGGGCAGGTCTGTGGGGAAGCCAGATTCCTTCATCCACGTGGAGCTCACAGAATTTTGCTGAACGAATCTGTCGGCCTGCTCACCTGTTCCTTTGTCAGCACCACACTGAGCACCCACGTGCAGCCCACGGCAAGACCATGGTCAGGCAGACGAGGGGACTGCAGGGCCTGGGCCCCCGGGAGAGCCAGGGACTCTGGTGAGGAGGGAACGGGGAGGAGGGGAGACGGTGGAAAAGAAGAGGACAGGCAGGGGAAATTGTTTTTTTGGGACATTAAGAAAGCAAAACACAACTATGCATGCAACATACATGCATTGTTTTAATGAGGAAATTCAAATATAATCAGCCTAAGCAAGCTTCTAGATGCGTCTTGAAATCTAGCACTTAAGAGATGAGCAAGGCCAGGCACGGTGGCCCATGCCTGTATCAGCACTTTGGGAGGCCGAGGCAGGCAGATCCCTTGAGGTCAGGAGTTCGAGACTAGCCTGGCCAATATGGTGAAACCCTGTCTCTACCAAAAATACAAAAAGTAGCCAGGCGTGGTGTATGTGCCTGTAATCCCAGCTAGGGAGGCTGAGGCAGGAAAATCACTTGAACCCAGGAAGCGGAGGTTGCAGTGAGCCGAGATCATACCATTGCACTCCAGCCTGGACCGTGTCGCAGCCACGTCCCTCCTGCCCCTGGGATCCCCCACCCCCTCCTCAGCCCAGAGCCTCAGAGCTCAGCTCCACGGGCCACATCTCCCTCTGTCCAGTACTGGGAAGAGAAGGAGCAGACCCTGCTGCAGTTCCAGAAGAGCAAGATGACCTGCCAGCTCTACAGGGAGAAGGTGAACGCGCTGCAGACCCAGGTGTCCGGGCTGCAAAAGGAGCGTGACCAGGTACCTGAGAGGCCCGCCCCGCCACCCCACGCTTGCTTCCCCAGGTGAGGGCTGGCTCAGGGGACAGTCTCTGGGCTCCCTGTCCTGATGGCAGCTGGTCTCAGATTTCAGGGTCTCTCCTCAGTCCACACGAAGTTTCTTCACTCCCCCACACCTGTTGTCCACACGCTCGCTCTGTCACCCTCCCTGCTCTTATTACTGTCACATGATACTGAGAACGTGCACCCCAAATATTGGGTTTTATTAAAACCGCACACGTGAAGATGAATTGAACTGTAAGTTTGCACAGCTCGGCGTGGGCCAGTTAGTGCATGTCAGATGAGCACAGGCTAGAAACAGGGCGCTCTCTGGCCGAGACTCCCTGGTGGGGATGGCGTGACCTCCTCACCCCCGTCGTCCTGACCCATAGGCATACTCTGCGAGGGACAGTGCTCAGAGGGAGATTGCCCAGAGCCTGGCGGAGAAGGACTCCCTCCGCCGGCAGGTGTTTGAGCTGACGGACCAGGTCTGCGAGCTGCGCACACAGCTGCGCACACAGCTGCGCACACAGCTGCAGGCAGAGCCTCCGGGTGTGGTGAGTGGTCCTGGCTGACCCCAGCTGGAGGCCAGGCAGGGGCTATGGGGACAACGGGACAGAGCCAGGCCCCAGGAAGGCCCAGACAGGCATTGGGAGGACAGGCAGCGTCCCAGGCTGGGCCACACGCGGCCCCTACAGAGACAGCCCAGTGTCACCAGGCTGACTGACACACTGGCTCCCACGCGTGGATGGTGCTGTGAAACCTCGAAGGTACCCAGGGGACAAGTAGAGTCTGCTTCTGTGTCTTCAATGACGAGAGCACCTGTGTCATGGAAGGGGGAGCTTAGCAGTAGGTTCTGGAGCCTGTCGAGTGTGCTGACGGACGTGGAAGGCAGCGTTTGAAGCTGTCTGCAGGCAGCCATTTGCAGTTCCCGAAATGCTTAAAAGCCCAACGACCGTCCGAGAGTGGAAAGACCTACACGTAACGGAGGGAGCCTGCTCCCAGACAGCCGGGATTTTTAGGACGCCTCTCATGTGGGCTGGTGGGCAGCTCCAGCTCCAGGCCCCCGGGGAAGCACAGGCAGCTCTGCCCTCTGCATGCACAGTGCCCACCCCCTTCCTCCCCCACCCTGCAGTGCCCACCCCCTTCCTCCCTCACCCTGCAGTGCCCACCCCTCTTCGTCCCTCACCCTGCAGGGCCCAGCCCTTCCTCCCCCACCCTGCAGTGCCCACCCCCCCTTCCTCCCTCACCCCCTGCACAGCCATCATCCCACATCGACAGTGAAAACACACATGTTTACGCAGAGTAAAACCCTCCCAGGGCAGGCACCAACACACAGGTCGTGCTCATTCTGAGTGTGGGGAGACGGGTGGATTTTACTTTCTTCTCTAACTGGTCCTGCTTCCCTTCCTCCAATTTTCTGTGTGTGTGTGTGTGTGTGTGTGTGTGTGTGTGTGTGTATTATGTATTATTCGTACAACTAGTAAATCACATATTCTAAAAGAAACGAAATGCTGTGTGTCCAGCTGGTTTCTTTCAGTCCCGTTGATGGGCAGCACCTGTGATGCTGGCCCCGGGCTCGGAGGATGGGGATAGATTGTTTTCCCTGGAAGCTGATGAGAGGAAACTGCTGGGGGGCGGGACAGGTGGTGCTGACCCGGCAGAAACCCCACGGGCCTCGAAGCGGAACCTCTCCTGAATTACCCGGCCTGTCTGGCCTGTCTTTGGCAGCTCAAGCAGGAAGCCAGGACCAGGGAGCCCTGTACGAGGGAGAAGCAGCGGCTGGTGCGGAGGCACGCCATCGGCCCCAGGGACGACAGCCACTGCAGCCTCGCCAGCTCCTCGGAGGTAAGGCTGCCCTCACTGCCTTGACCCTCTGGGCCAGCCCAGGGCCTCTGTCAGGATGAAAGTGGGCCTCCTTCCACCCTGACCCCACAGGGAAGAGGTTGGTGCAATTAGGAGAGTTTTATTTTATGATTTATTTATTTATTTATTTATTTTGAGACAGAGTCTTGCTCTGTCACCAGGCACCAGGCTAGAGTGCAATGGCGCGATCTCGGCTCACTGCAACCTCCACCTCCCTGCTTCAAGCGATTCTCCTGCCTCAGCCTCCAGAGTAGCTGGGACTACAGGCGCACACCACCACGCCCAGCTAATTTTTGTATTTTAGTAGAAATGGGGTTTCACTGTGTTGGCCAGGATGGTCTTGATTTCTTGACCTTGTGATCCGCCTGCCTCAGCCTCCCAAAGTGCTGGGATTACAGGCTTGCGCCACGGTGCCCGGGCTATTTTATTTTTATTTATTTATTTATTTTTTGAGACAGAGTTTCGCTCTTGTTGCCCAGGCTGGAGTGCAGTGGTGTGTTCTCAGCTCACCGCAAACTCTGCCTCCTAGGTTCAAGCGACTCTCCTGCCTCAGCCTCCAGAGTAGCTGGAATTACAGGCACCTGCCACCACACCCGGCTAATTTTGTGTTTTTAGTAGAGATGGGGTTTCTCCATGTTGGTCAGGCTGCTCTCAAACTGCCAAGGTGATCCATCCACCTTGGCCTCCCAAAGTGCTGGGATTATAGGTATGAGCCACCATGTCTGGCCCTTATTTTATGAGACAGAGTCTCCTCTGTCACCCAGGCTAGAGTGCAGTGGTACAATTTCAGCTCACTGCAACCTCCACCTCCCAGGTTCAAGAGATTCTCTTGCCTCAGCCACCCAAGTAGCTGGAATAACACGTGCCCACCACCACGCCCAGCTACTTTTTATATTTTTATTAGAGACAGGGTTTCAACATGTTGGCCAGGCTGGTCTTGAACTTCTGACCTCAAATGATCTGCCGGTCTCAGCCTCCCAAAGTACTGGGATTACAGGCTTGAGCCACTGCACCCAGCCCAACAGCCAAGCCACATCACTTTACACGTAAAATGGGGCGGCAGCTTACAGGTTTATCGTGAGAACTAAGCCAAGCAGCTAATAGAATGCCTGGTATACAGCAGGCGCTCAGTGCATGTGACTCCCGTGTTTGTCCTTCCTTCCCCTCCTGCTGCCTCCTCTCCACTCAGTTCTCACTGTGGCTCATTCTCTCTACACCATGAGGTAGCAAGGGAGGAGTCTCGGGGTGTCCTCCTGCGTGCCCCGCTGACCTCTGCCCTCCCTCCTCCAGTCTCAGCTCTGGTTGGACCTGAGCGCCACGTCCAGCCGCGAGCTGGTGGACAGCTTCCGCTCTAGGAGCCCTGTGCCCCCCAGCCAGCAGTCCCTGTACAAGCGGTTGGCCGAGGACTTCGGGGAAGAACCCTGGTCTTTCAGGTAGAGCATGTGATACTGGGGTCCTTCCTGGCGACTCACCAGAGAAACCAGCCTAGGCCTCAGGGCACCTGAGTATTACAGGCAGCAGCTCCTGCCCTCGAAGCCCCCGAGCTGGCAGCTGCTGGGCGGCCAGTGCTTGGGGCGTGGGGACTCAGAGGGAGCAGGTGATGCAGTTTGAGCCTGCGGCTTCTCATGCTTTGCAGCAGCTGCCTGGAGATTCCGGAAGTAGGCCTGGGAGCCCCGCCAGGAGCGAAGGCGGGTGACACAGACCTGGATTATGAGCTCCTAGACGGGGCAGGTAAGCACGCCCAACCCTGAACCTCCACAGCAGTCCGCATCCCCCTGGCAGAGCAGGGAGCTGATGAGACAGCCAGGGCTTCTCCCCAGGGACAGGGCAGATAGAAGCAGAGCTCAGCACCTGCCCTGGGCCTTCACCTTGGCCTCAACCTTGCGCTTTGGGAAAGTCCCGCCTGCCAGGCAGCATAAGCCAGAGCCCGGCTGTGCTCTGTTTTCTGGCATCCTTGTGTTTTTCCCTAGAGCCAGGGGAGTTGGTACTTGCCCTGCGCAGTACCGAGCACCCTGCTCTGATCTGTGGAGACGCTTGGGCTTCCCAGTGGTTTCAGGGGGCAGCAGGCAGGGTTGCTTCGTGGTGCCCAGCTGAGCTTGAGGCGAGGCACAGAGTGGCATCTCCCCGAGGGGGGCACCTCTCCTCTCAGGCGCTGGCCCTGAGGCCTCGTGATTCTCCTGTGGCTCATTTGTTTGTGACTGAACCAGCCTTCTCTCCGTCCCAAGTCCATGGGCCCGTCACAGGTGGGTGCCTTAGCCTTTCCGCCTCAGCACAGCTGGCTCTAGCCGTGAGCACTGCACACAGTAGGTGCTTTGCTCCCCATCTGGAATTCACCCCGTGGCCACCAGTGCCCTGTGCTGCCCACCCCGCACTCCCCCTCTGCCTTCTGTGGGCTGTGTGATCAGAAACCTTCCCCTTTGGGGACTCATACACATTTTTATTTATAACAGTGATAAATTGAGAGAGTCCACCTAAGGCATATCTAAATTAGGTGTGAGATGAGAAGGGAGGGCTTATTCCTCTTTATTTTTCCTCTGTGAGCATTCTGCACGATGCCCTGGTTGCATATAGTTTTAGCAGAATTGACCTCAGATACGTCGGGAGTACACACCTCGTTTCATTGGCTTTGAATGTGATCGCAATGGGATTCTGCCTGTGAGCCAGGCCTAGGGAAATCTTTGGTCTCTGCTGGCAGTGGTTCTCCTGTGTGGGTCACAGAGTGAGACTTCCTGCCGTGGACCCTGGCAGGCTGCTCCCTGGCTCTCGGGGGCTCACAGGCCGCACAGTAAAATGCAAGAGCTTGGGAGACCCTGGGAGCCTTTAGACCCAGGATTGACAACTCGGAGACCTGCCCCAGTCAGCTGGGAAGTAGGGTGGTCTGGGGTAAGCAGCAGGCAGCCACTGGCCAGTGCAGTGATTGCTGCCACCCCGAAATGCAGATCAGCACAGAAATGCAGGCCTGTGTAGAAATGCAGCCCAGCACAGGCCCATGCAGACATGGAGCCCAATGCAGTCATGCAGGCCCATGCAGAAATGCAGGCCAGTGCAGAAATGCAGGCCAGTACAGAAATGCAGGCCCCTGCAGAAATGCAGGTCCGTGCAGAAATGCAGACTGGTGCAGAAATGCAGGTCCATGCAGAAATGCAGGTCCGTGCAGAAATGCAGGTCTGTGCAGAAATGCAGGCGGTGCAGAAATGCAGGCCCGTGCAGAAATGCAGG